GAACTTGAGGCAGAAAGAAACGCCAATATAGCTGCTGCCCCTGGCAAGCCGACCTCCTGACGTGTCCTCTCTCTTGCTGCACTCCTGTGACAGACATTGTAGTTTTCATTTTCGTGGTGGTGTGTTTTGCCACTGTTGCCGTGTGGATCTCCCAGATGTGAGTCTGTTTATTTTCCATTGCCTGGACTCCAGTAAGAAACATGTGATGCAGCCCGGATAATAAAAGAAGCTGGGAAAGAATATGGTCCTGAAAATGTCCTGAAAAGGCTGGAGGCGGTGGGGGGGAGCTTTGTATGCACTAAATAAATTTTTAAAACCTTAAGCTTTGGAGTATTTATTGGAGATTTTAAATCATTTTATTCTAAACTAATCACCTCCAGCCTTGAAGGCCCAATTCATGGAATGATGGAAAATTAAGTCATGATGACTTTTGAGGACAGATTCTTGCTGACTTAGTGATAAGCCTCCAAGGAAGAGAACGTATCACAACCCATTTACGAAATGCTGCTTTGTTCAGACGATCGCTCTGTGGAGCCACATTGTTCATTTCACTGTGACCTGCTCTAAGCCCTTGATCATAGACTTGTAAACCTGTTAACAGGTTCTGCTTCTCCCCCTAATCCACTGGGTCATTTGGGAATAAATTCAGGCACACAATGTCAAATGCCACTTGTCTTCCTCTGTAATTTTTCCCTGTTGTCTGATTTATAAATAGACCTTGATTTATAGGAACATTGATCACCAGGTAAGAAATCTGTAATCAGAAGAGTATTATTACTGGGGTCGCTGCCCCTCATGTAGGGAACACTGACCTGGTTTCCTCCCCTCATTTCCTTTCTTTGGATGAGTAACCTATCCCGCTTGCCTTTAAATGAAGACAAGCCATGCGAATCCGCCCAGTATCTCGGTGTGAAGCGATGATGTCTGTCCCTTTAATTCAAATGTCAGTTTCCATGTGAAGGCCTGTGAGTCTGGTGTGGCGAGAATATTCTAGGCGGCGTTTCTTTGGAAACTCTGCAGTATCCATGGATACCCAATCTGCCAGAAGCAAAGTGCATGATCTTTTCAGAAGCAACACACAGGTACATAGAGCTACTCTGCATTGAAAAGAGCCATGCTGCTTAGCTTCAACATACCGTTGCATCATATCAGAATTTTGGAGTTTTTTTTTTTTTCTCCTGGCATGAACATATACCCATAAAATAATCACAGATAAAAATTCAAATATTTATAACCAGAAGATTTTCTGGGGCTCTGAAGCTTTACTTGGGATGTTTTGCCTGCTATAATTTTCATAAATTCAGAGTAGGAAGCCTCTACTGGGTCAGACTTAATACTGCTGGTCACTGGTCATCATTATCTCCGTTTTCCATCGAGCTACCAAATTTATACTTAGTTCTAAATCTTCCTTACTGGGGTGATAGGTTTAAGAAGAGAAAATGTAATGGTGCTATCAATACCATTTAATAACACAATGAAGATCAATAGAAAAAGATAGCTATTGAATTCACCAGCCAAATCGATAAATTATCACTTAAAAAAATTTTTTTTTCTCTTGGGAGATACATGCTACTTGCCTGGAATTGATCTGAATAACAAATCCTTAAATTATGATGTGGTACAAAAAATTATTATTGGGTTGAACTCAACAAAAAAGAATGTGTTACCTCCTTGCAGTGAGGAAGAGAGACTACCCCACTCAAAAGGAGAGAGTGGAAAGGCATGGCCACAGGGGAAGATCGAGGGGGCACAGCTCAGGCGGGGAAGTTGACTGGGGTGGGACGGGGGTGTTCTTTGTTAAAACAGCTCCTTGTTTCTCCCTTGTAGACTGGCATTTCACCAGCTGTTACATAAGTCTCAGTGCCCTTCTATTTGAAAAATGTCAATTCTAACAGAATGTCCAACCTGCTCCTCTCAAGTCTGGTGGTGATAATGTGCTCTGTGATGAATGACTGATGAGGTCGTGCGGAAAAGCAGCCTCTGTACCCAGCAGTTTTACTTAAGTGGTTTGCCAGTCTTCATATTCAAAGTGAGACTGGGATGATTCCCGCGGGGGATTTAGGATTATCTTTTTTATTTTTACTACCTTGATACATACACTTCATGGTATGAACTAAAAAGTCAGACATGTAGAATAAAGAATTTTACCATTCTTAGAGATTATCGAGTAACCATAAGATGTTACCAAATATTAAATTGTAAAAATTGTAAATTGTTTGAAATTGTATCCAACTACCAGGTTTGAAGTCATTTTTTTACATTTCATGTGAAAATCACTTCTTCACCCGACTGCAGTGTCCTCTTCCCTGCACCTGCCCGCACTTGAATTTGATAATCAGCGAGAGGGGGTGTTGCAGTTCAAGTTCACAACCACCTTATGCTCCATTCTGCAGCGAAGTGCAGCCGCCTTCCAGGCCCGACGGGTAACTCTGGAACAGTGAATACTGACTGAGCAGCAGCTTAGACTTCCCGTGTTTCCTCTTCACGTTGGCCACCGTGAATGGCATGGTTTGTCAAGACGTTCTGTAATAAAGCATTAAGTTTGTTTTGTTCTCTGTGGCTCAAGAACAGCTTTGTAAGATGTGTAATTCAGAGTAAGAGGCAGATTGCTTTGCTGCCATGGCCTACCAGAGTCATAGTCCTCATGAGATGGGATAAAGTTGTAGCATAAATTTATGAGTATTTACCATCAAGCAACACTATTTAAAAAGTGGCAAAAGGTTACGTTACAGAACTGCTTACTTTTTTCTTAAGCCCATTTATTTTGTAATCACAATTCACATTGGAATTCTAGGTTATTGGGGTTGTGATATAATTTTGGGGGGTTGTGATAAAATTTTGTATCCATGTTGTTGACCTGAAGTCCTTGTGATTTTTTGTAAATGGTTAAGCCCATGGTGTGCAAATACTTTTAGCACTTGTGGGAACACTTTAAACTACTGCGTGTGAACTGAGCCCAGCGGGACATAATAGGGGAACCTGGGGAAAGTCAAGTCAGGAGGAGCTCGCACAGGCAAAGTAAGGGAGAAACAAGCAGCTCTTGGGATTAGAGAGTGAGGAACTGAAATGTCTATGGTAAGACCACCCACCTACTGACGACTGCAGTGATGGGACTGCTTCACACACTGTATGACGAAAGAGTACTCATGTCATGGTCCTTTATCTCCCAGATTAGAGTGAATAAGAATAATAATAATAAAAAAACCCTTTCAATTAATAGAGCTGACACAAATATAATTTTTATAAAACTGATGAAATTCAAAGTTTTGAAGACTGGTTTAAAAGGAGAGGCTAAAATGTATTTGAAGCTTTGAGACATGAACACGAATTATCTTGATTCTCTGTCCACTGTTAATACTATGTTTTCAGGTGAGACTTATCTCAGCAGAAATCGGTTGGTGAATGAAGATACTTGTGTAGAGCAACGTTAACTGCTTTTTCTAATACAGTGCAGTCAAAAAGTATGTGGCCAAGAAGCGAGTTTCTACAAGATGACCATTTTAAACACACTAGGCAAAGGCAAACCAAGCACAGAGCTTGACAGCCACATGCGGCAGTGGGTGAGCAAATTACAAACCTGCTGGACAGGGTTTGGCTTCAAGCAACATGCTGGAAGGTTAAATTAGGGAGAATGCCAGGGATCCCACTGGCAAGGCTTCATTGTCCACTCTGGTTCAAGATTATAGCCCCATACCTATCTCTGTTAAGATTACAAACCTCAAAGATTATGTGGCTTTGAACTAGCTTGATTTTCAGTTAGATGTGCGGATTGTCCTGCTCCATTAATCTGAATAGAATTTTTCAGACTGGCTTTATTAAACCATGAATAAAAGCTAGCATATTATATCATATATGTTATATAATATACATATATTAAACTGCTATTTTAAGTTAATAGGTCAATTCTGTGTTCATTTAAAAATTGCATCTATAGGATGTGTGTCTGCTACCTAGTAACAAATGTATGGCGCCATTTAGAAGGAAAAAGAAGCAAATGTTGTGGAAGATAAAAATTCCTGCAGAAATCTGATTGTATTAATATGATGCTTTTCTCATTCATGTGAGCAATTTGAAAAATGGAAGGGGAAGCAGAACTTGGTTTCTCTTATTTTTCTGACCACCCCCTTTCAGATCTCCCTAACCCAAGTTTACTACTCTAGGTAGATAGAATTTTAGACTCGGTAGGGCCGCTGAGGTTGGAATTACTTAACACGTTTTAATGTTCACCAAATTAGCAGTAGACGTTGATTTAAAATAGCATTACAGAGGGGCAGGACCCCAGCTTGGATTCTGGGTCCCTGTTCAGCGAGGAATCTGTTTCTCCCTCTCCTTCTGCCCCTCCCCCTGCTCGTGCTCCCTCTCTCAAATAAAATCTTAAAATTATAAAATAAAATAGCATCTGTAGATTCATAGCTACCATCCTAAAGTTATTACCAGCCCTGAAGATGTAAAGAAATTAAGAATTCAAAGTCTTCATTAAAACCGATTATTTTAATTGCTTAAACAAACATACATAATTGATGCAAGTGAGGGCGATCACAAGCAGTTTGATGAAATTTGCAGTGAGCCCACCAGGTTGCTGAAGGTCAGAAGAAACTCCGTCCCACCCACCTGACCGAACTGGAACGGTTCACTTTAAGCCTTCAAAGACATGCACATCATAAAGGAATCCAAGCGAAAACCAAAACCGATCATTAATAGCTACAAGATTGGAAAGTATACGCTTTATTATTACACAAAGACAAGGGTAATGACCAATTGTTGTCCCCATCTGCTCGAGTGGGGACATTTTAAATTATGACAATCTACGGATACTGACCGTGATGGTCACGTGGTCTATCATTAACACAAATACAAAATGGAAATCATTTTATTAAACCCCGTGGAGAGGCCATTTGAAGAACATCAAGGCGCGGGCTTTTCCGGGCGGGATTTTGGTCGGCCCAGCCGCCTGCACGCCGGGCGGGGCCGGAGCTCCGGGGCGGCCGCAGGGGGCGGGCCTAGCACTGCAACTCCTCCTCCTCGGCCCTCCGGGGTCCGCCCCCTGAGCTCTGCGCGCTGGCGTGCGCCGTGGAGCTGAGCACCTCCTCGAAGCTGCCTCCGCCGTGGTTCGCCCCGCCTACTTTCGTCTGAAAGGGCAGAGATGCAAACGTAGTTAGTTCATCAGGTCTGCAATGTTTGTGTGAGACGGAGTACTCTTAAGTTCAGGGAGAATTTTTTTTCTTGAAAGGGAACGTAAAGGGGTTCAGAGAAGTTGGTTTCCTTTAGCAGTGTTACATGCCATTCATACTGGGATCTGGGATAGGACCCAAAACTTTAATTCCGTACAATTTTAGCGGTGCTCTCTTCATTCCTCCTAACATCTAAAAATCTCAGTTACTTCAGGAGCATATCCAGATCTGTGCATTTGTCTACACATCACCCTGAGAACAGATGTAATGAAAACAGAACCGGATTTTAGATAAATACCCTCAACTTAAAAAGTATAGGAGGGGCGCCTGGGTGGCTCGGTGGGTTAAAGCCTCTGCCTTCGGCTCAGGTCGTGATCGCAGAGTCCTAGGATCGAGCCCCGCATCGGGCTCTCTGCTCAGCAGGGCCTGCTTCCTCCTCTCTCTCTGCCTGCTTCTCTGCCTACTTATGATCTCTGTCAAATAAATAAATACAATCTTAAAAAAAAAAAAAGTGTATAGGGCACCTGGGTGGCCTCAGTCGTTAAGGGTCTGCCTTAGGCTGATGTCATGATCCCAGGTTCCTCACCGCTGGGAGGAAGCCTGCTTCTCTCTCTCCCCCTCCCCTTCCTTGTGTTCCCTCTCTCGTTCTGTCTCTGTCAAATAGATAAAATCTTTTTTTTAAAAAGGGTATAAACATCTTTAAGTGACTCCAATTTAGGCTTCCTACTGGGACTTAGAAAGGCTATCTGGATCCCTGACAAATGGCTTTTGAAAAGGCTGAGCAGCTCCACCGAACATGCTTTCTGGTCTCTGTTCTGAGAGGTAGACAGGACTCAAATCTTAAGCGCTTAGCTACTTCACATCCTTCTAGGCAGCTGCCCCTAAAAGATTATCCTGACTTGAAATGCAAAGTTATGATGCTTGAGGGGGGCTCCCTTCATGTCAGCTTTTTATTGGTAATAAGAATAAAATCAGGAAGAGATCAATTTATAAGAAATATATTAGAAACACGGTTAAAATGTTTCGAAAAAATCCTCATTAAAAAAGTCCTTCGACAGAATATCTAATGTTTAATGCAAGTCTTATTAATGTCACATTGGTTTTCCTTTAGCCATTACCAATATGGAAAAAACATGTTGAGGAAAAGAAAGGTACAAAATAGAAAATGTTGCTATTCCCAAAGTGCTGTCTACTCGTTGGTGCCACCAAAGTGATCACTCACAGAACCACTCGTGCTGGCGGATAAACCACTTACTGCCTGGTCTGCCCTTTCAAAAACCTAACCAGGTTTTAAAAGCAGTTAAATCATTCCAAAACAAGCATATGCTTTTCTCCAATTGTCACTAAAATCCCTCTCTGCCTCTTTAAATTCAATTCCTAACTCGAGTTTTCCACTCTGCTTGGGGTCAGGAAACTTATTCTGGAAAGTGACAGATAATACATATTTTAAGCTTAGGATTCACATAGTCTCTGTCACGAATACTCAAATCAACCATTGTGCAAAGCAGCCAAAAATAACCCTAAGTGAATGAGCATGGCTGTGTTTCCAGAAGACTGTATGTATGGATACTGAATTTCACGTAGTTTAATTTTAACATGTCACAAAATAGCATTCTTCCTTTGATTTTTTTCAACCATTAAGAAATATAAAAACCGGGGTGCCTGGATGGCTCAGTTAGTTAAACCTCTGCCTTCATCCCAGGTCATGGTCTCACGGTCCTGGGATCGAGCCCCGCATCGGGGAGCCTGCTTCCTCCTCTCTCTCTCTGCCTGCTGCTCTGCCTACTTGTGATCGCTCCCTCTCTGCCACATAAATAAAATCTTTAAAAAAATATATAAAAACCATTCTTAGCTTACAGGCCATTAAAGAATAGCCAGCTAGCTGGATTTGGCCCACAGGCCTTGATTTGCAGAGCTTGGGCACTGAGCACTGACTGATTCCTCCTCTACTCTGTGTCATCCCAGCACTGGGAAGAAGCAGGGGTTGCTTTCAACTATGTGACTTTTCACTATGTTTATTTCTTTCTGGAGAGAAACAAGATCAATTCAACATAATCTACTCTATTAAGAGATCCCATTCTCCTCTTTGTTGTACTTGCACTCTGTTTTGCAGTATAAGTCACACACAGTTTTGAATCAAGTGAATACCAATTACTGATGCTTTCTTTCGGGCTTTGTTGTTTTCTCTTCTCCTAGTTCTTGATTTTTCTCAAATCAAAATAGAAAAATAAAAGAGGAAATCGTTTTAAAATAAAGCAATTTGGCAAAAAAAAGGGAGCACAATGAAGGGGTTTTCTAACCTAGAGGGTTGAGTGGAATAATGGGGTTTCCTAATGACATGGGTTGAATGACTGTCCACAGCAATTACTGAAGTCAGGAGTTGCTTTGGTAAAGATGTGAACAATAAACTTTTTCTGGACCTTCCCTTCATTATGGCTCTTCATTCAGGCATTTGTCACTTTATCCCCAAAACTATGATTGTTGGTTGCATAAAATTCTATTTGAATTATTGAGTTGGGCTGCCTAATCTCTCATAATAATATGGCTCGTTGAGAAGACACGAAGAACTAATAAATATATCTTGTCTTTTTAAGATTTTAAGTCAGGCCCTACAAAGAATTCATCAAAAATAGGTGCACTAGAACTATGGTCTGCTTGACATGGTTCGGAGAATGGCTGGAAGGCTGACTGACCAGAACGGTTGGAAGGGATGTAGTTGTTCCTGATTCACTGGAACATGGTGAAACACAACAAATTATGGTTTCATAAGAGCTGGTTCTTGGTATGCTTGTTTATTTTAGAGGCAAAAGAAAGTGTGCTCATTGAGCGCAGAGGTGAAACTAGCTGAGAGTCCTCAGATGAGACAGTGACGTATTCCAAGGACCTAGGCAAACAGGACTAAATTTTATATAATGGTGATGAAATGGAAAATTTTTCCTGGAAAACCAAGCTGTCTACAAAACTGGGTATAAAGGAAGAACGATCAGTTGGGTATAAATCCCACAAGGTGTGTGACAGACTGTGTGAGGAGATGGCAAGAACGGACCTTCCTTCCCAGTAGAACATTATTTCTAATAGAATATAAATATGAATATGATTCCTTCTGAGCGATGTTTTTAAAAACTGGGCTTAAAGCAGTATGTGTGATAGAACCGCAGCACAGAGCCCCGTGAGGCATTTCCTTACTGATTCATCCTTACTGACTTGTGAGTCAGCCGGAAAACAGTCTGGGACCCAGAACTGAAGAACGTTATAGAAATTTTGAAGAAAATTTAGAACAAAAAACTATGTGGCAAATAAACTATATAAAGAAGGGTTAAACATCTATTATTTAGCCTGGAGAAAGAAAAAGAATGAGGAATTTGCAATGACTGAGTGAGTGGGAAGTTTTATACAAAGCACAATTATTAGCTATTTATTCTCCATTGCCTGGGTGGGCAGAAGAAGAGGAAGTAGGCATCAGCTGTGACATAGGTGGGTGGGATGTGAGTCTTGTTAAACCCCGGGGACAATCATGCAGACACTGAATCCACTTTCAGGAAGTCTTGACACAGGCTAGGATCTGGTCGGCTAAGTTAGTTTTGTTCATGTCTGAAGGCGGAGGCGGGCTCTACACCTTCCATCCCAGTGAAGAGAGAAAAGCGAGAAGCGCATGGTGCTGGATCAAACACTTAAACCACATGTGAGCTGTGAGCTTACCAGCGCTTCCTAAAAGCAAAGCAAAACAGGTTGTTCTTTATTCTTCTTTTGCTTCTTCGTATCTCCTTCTTCTAAAGAAAACCTAAAAAGTACAACTTCTCCTACGTCAGAACTGGTCTAATAAGCAGCAAAATCTATCTTCCTTCCACTCTCTAAGGCTGAGAACTAAATGCTGAGAAATTAACTCCCAGGATTTTCTGAACCCTTTCTTTTGAAACTTGATACTCTAGCAAGAGAAATGTTCTAGGCACTGCGCATCATTCCTTATGAAAAGTTTACCCTCTACATGGGGGCAATTCAATGGCTCCTACGGGTCCCCAGATACTCAATAAGCAATGATGTTGGTAAATGAAAGCAAGGCCTGGGAAATGCTGAGTCATCATCTCGTTCTTGCACCTTAAACATCAAAGCCCAGGCCCGATAAAGCAGAAGTAGGAGACTGTATGAACAAAACCACCCCTAAGAGGAAAGACTCTCCAAGTCACAATCAGAGCACGCGGGAGCTCCAGCGAGGGATGCCTGACATCCTCGCGGGCTCATGAGCAGCGCACGGGGGCGAGCATTCAGCAGCAGCGGGGTGATCAGCATGTGCACACACCCGCTTTTGCTCCGCTTCAAGATCACCTGCATTCTTCATTTTACCAGATAAGGAAATACGGAAACGGACTGTCTACAAAACAGCGCTAAGAATATCAAGACTGTAAGTCACCATTTAACTGCTGTCTTAAAAAAAATAATCTTAGTCATTTCAAAGACTTTTCCTGTTTTGGAAGTTCTGTGCATTCTGGGACTAGACTGATTTTATTTGTACTTTCTTCCTTTGTAGGTGAACTCAACTACACTCAAACGATAAATCCAATATGAAGTTCTTTTTTTTAACACCTCCCATGACACAGGCATATTTTCAGTTGACAACCTGGGATCAAATGTGTTATTGCAAAAGAATGCTCACTGTGACTCAGTTTGATTTTCCCTCCGTGATCACCATGCTGTGCTGCGCTCAGTCTGGGAATGGAGTAAAGGAGTCGGGGTAGTTGACGGGAGGAGGGAAGCAGTGCAATGGAGGGGGCCAAGTTCGTTTTTGCTAGTCCATGTGCAAACCAGAGGGTCTATGAGCTGTGGGCGACCCTCCACTTATCCTCTAAATTCAAAATTCACATACCCTCGATCCTAACCACAATCCTCTCTCACATACCAGTTTTGGAGAGGACAGCCCGAGAGAGTTCAAGCCTGCAAAGATGTGAACACACATCCCAGTTCATGTTCACAAGTCATCACCCCCGAATGGTTTACGGGAACAACTCTGTGAGGATCCAGCAACACTCTCCAATACCGGTTTGACGGACAGACAGATTTAGATGTGAAGAAAAAGACAGACTCTGGGCAGACTGCCTTCCCGGCTGCCCCGAATGCTGGCGGTCCCACCTTCAGAATTAACCACCACAGTGACTAAGCTGTCCTGATTCACGGGACCCCATGACACAAAATTCACTTCATCTGTACCTTAAGGCTTGTGACAGTTGTCTCAACCCTCTCCTCAAATGATTTGAAAGTAGGAGAATTCCTAAAATAACAAAAAAAGAGAGGTCAGCTCCAAAGACCCAGCTGTCTTAGCAACCGAGCTGCCTGGCTTTCTGCTCTCAACTGTAAACATCATCTCTGCACCAGAGCCAGCTGTCGGTTCTCCACCTACGACAAGCACGCTTTTAAAGTATGTTTTCCTTTCTGCTAGGTCAGAGCCACAAACCATGACCTGGCATGGAAATTTTCTAAGTAAAAGATTCCTATAATAGACAGGACAGCATTTGTTAATGACATCACCGTAATAACTCCAAGGTGCACTGGAAAGCATTCCCAAGGAGTCAAAGGAGTGATAGCTTAATTTGTTACTTGCTAATTAACTGTTTCTATTGTACCACTCCTTTTCCCAACTCATTTTTTGTTTTGTTTTGTTTTTTGTTTGTTTGTTTTTGGTGAGCAATGGAAAGTCTGTCTGAAGAATGTCACGTTAGAATTTTCCCACTTGGAATTTTGAAGTTATTTATTTCAGAAATAACTCAAGGGGGGGAAAAAGGGTTCATAAGTTTTTCTCTTCCATGCCTTACAAAGTAATCATTTTGTCAATTTCCATGAAGTAGTGTTTCTGGGAGTCAATGCTTTCATTATTTTGAGTTGAAATATACCTATTACTTGTCTAACGCTTGATCAAAATGGTGTTATGAGCATGTTATTCTTCCTCCTGAAGAGGATAGACCTTTGTTCTCTTATCTACAAAATCTTTGCAGTCTATCGACAATTTATTGGTGACTCATTCATTATGTTAAACACTCTATATACATCATCTTGTTCCTTTAAGAATTAGGTGCTTCATTTTAGTATGTTTTGGTTTCCTGGACTGGATTTGGCCACATGACATGATTTCATGACATCATCACCATTAAAAAGGATATCCCCAGGTCCCGCTAATGAAACAGGAGCCGAGAAGGAACTAAAAATGTATCTTAAATCTTGTATCCATGTCAGCTTTCAGCAACAATGATTGCCATCAATTTCAGGTCAAATAATTCAACTGAATGTTACTTATTTGATAAGCCACCTGTTATTCTCTCTTGAGTGCAGGTGAAATGAAATAGGACGAATGGCCTAGAGGAATTTTGTTAAGGGAGAACTGGTGTAATAGATGGGTATCTTTGTATGGTGTGGAATGAAGCACGGCTCTAATACTATCAAGAGGAAACTAATGTCCATAATATGTTTTGGACTGAATTTGGCTTTGTTAGAGACTACCTCCAGAGACTGACACTCCAGATGGTCAGAAATGTATCTGCACCTCTGCTGTAGGGATTAACCGTGGTGAGTTCAGAGAGCCCACGGATGACACCACACCTTGTAAACAACTCAAGCAGGAGTCAAATTCCTGTGAGTAATCCTCCCTCATATTGCTGTTTCATGATGAAATATTAGTGAATTTTTACCTCAGTGACTCAAGTTTATGTATTTATTGGCCCCTTACTTCCACCGCAGGTTTTATGTGGGCAAGCCTGCTCACGTGCCTGCCTGTCATTGATTAGTGACACAGCCCTAGCCAGACAGTTCAGCTGAAGGGTTCATGGGTATATGTTAGATGAGTAAGAAAAAAAAAAATTTTTTTTAAGTTAGTTTCAGGCAAGATTATGAGGACTACATTTGACCCATAAGCCACTAGATGGATTCACAAAGCAAAGCTGTGTTAATTTTTTGCAAGAACTTCTTTGGACACCCAGACTTAAAAGCTAACAGATAGTTGGTTAAACGTCTGCCTTTGGTTCAGGTTGTGATCCCATGTCCTGGGATCGAGTCCCGCATTAGGCTCCTTGCTCGGTGGGGATCCTGCTTCTCCCTCTGCTTGTGCTCTCTCTCTCTCTCTCTGACAAAATAAGTAAATAGAATCTTTAAAAAAAATAGTTAATAAAAAAAAGATGACAAATAAAGAAGCTCAGAGCTGCAGGCTGCACTACTCAATCTGAGTGTTTTTATGCTAGGGGGTGCAAGTCATTCAAAGATGGACTAAGCAATCTTGAATCTGTGCTCCCTATTTAGCACCAAATTAGGGAAATCAAATACTGTGGCTTAAATTTCCAAAGTAACCATATAACCTCAGTGTGGAAGAAACATCCTCAGGATAATAAAACAGACATTCCTCTAATTCGGTTACACTAGACGATGTACTGGAGAACAGGGAGAAACTGTTCACTCAGATTTAATCAAATCACTACAGCTACAAATGACCCTGGAAAGAATTTGGCTGTAGTGGTCTCAAACCATTCAGAGCAACCGAACCCCCTCTCTAACACATCACACCACAATACATACTATAAAGCAGGTAGAAGAGGCACAGTTGGGACTGAAGCAGGGAAGGGTCTTGGAAGGCTCATGGCTCCCCACACATCCCCCACAACGGAAGTCCAGGGCAAGAGCAGTGAGAAAAGCAGTAAATCTGGTTTTAGCTTCTTATTTTAAATATGAAGAAACTGATACCAGTGAGATGACTTTCCCAAGGCTGCAAAGTTCATCCCTGGCAGAGCTGGTCTACAATCTGCATCTCCTGACCCTTCTTCCCCCCCACCCCTGCAATCTGACATTCATTCTTCCATACCTTGTTTCTATTCGTGTGCTTTTATCTGATTGCCTCACTAAGCTACACAAACAGGAAGTGGGAAATGTCTTTCTTAGAAGTTTTCATCCAGCTAGTTATTTTAATAACATTTTCATTGCCTAACAGACACCTCATCTTAACATCTACCTTAAAAAATCATGGTGATATCCTTTCTACAGCTGTAGTCCTCTCGGTCTGCTGTTCCCTTCAATGTAACCTTTCTCCCAGGCTTGCGTTTAATTCTGCTGAAATAAGGCACATATTTTTGCCTTTGGAGGTGTGGTGGCTCCAGGCCCTAATCTAAGAATGTGCATCACACAGGTTACTTTGTGTCACACAACAGGTAAGAGAATGGAGATTGAGCTAGGTAAGTAACCTGTCTCAGGTCACACAAATCAGGAGACACTGGATTTAAGAAGCTGAAGCCCATTATACCCTACTTCCACAGAACTGTCTAGCTTTTCTCCTGAAGGCTGTCGGGAAAGACAGTAAGGTCTTTGGATCAGTAAGGTCAATGCATTTCCTTTCATATTAAGGGGGAGAGGGGAAGCTCCGCCAAGTAACTATCAATAAAAAGTAACACTTCATACATACACATTCTGCATTGATATTATATAAAGTAATTTATACACACATTACCTCATAGCAGGCATACTTATGGAATGGCGAATGGAGTAGCTTCAGGGCAAAAGCAGATTAAAAGAAAAAAAAAAGAAAAAAGAAGATAGCACAACATAAGTACATGAGAAACTCCCTATTCACAGTTCTAAAACAGCAATTTCAACTGTCAGAAGTATTCCTTGCCCGCCCCACCAAGATGACATTTGTTTTTGCTGGGTAGGATGGGCCAACCCATCCAGCTTTCAAGATTACAAAGGAAGAGTACACTGTCCAAGTTGGGTGTTATTTTACTTCCTGTGGGTTCCCGGTAGGCCAGGAAATCTGAGGAGAATGTCTGGTTTTTCCAGGTGCGCCCAGCAGCCCGTGAACATCCTCCCCAGGTTCAACTCCCACTCCCTTCCCTTCTTTCTTCTTTCAGGGAGAGAGGAAGAGCTGTACCTAGGAAGGCACAAAGGCAGGTAAAAGCTAATCATTCCGTTGTAGAGAAACTCTCCAGAGGAATATAGGTAGTTCACTTAAGACATTCAAGGAAACACATAGCAGGCTACTGTAATCCACACAGTCCAACATGGCAGCAGGGACCTCCACATCCATTCTAGGACATCTGTACATTTCTGAGAATAGTAAGAGTTTCAGCCTCCTCACTCTATTGATCCTATGGCTGGCTCATCTTTCCTCTGATGGATCAACTGTTACTCCTTTGTGAGTTCCACTCAGAAATCAGACTGGGCTGAGGGAGGAAGCCCTACGTAAGGGTCCATGTCTTGCGACAGCGCTCCCCCATCACATTTTCCAACACCATCCCTGCGTCTCTCCTCCCAAGAAGCTAACAGGAAGGGATCACACGCCTCACCCTTCCCCAACAACATCCACTGAAGTCACCAGTATTGGCAGTACTTTACTAGAACTCAAAAAGAAAAGGACAAAGAAACTCAGGGAGTACTTATGGTCTTACTTAGACACTCCGCTTAGAAAATATAGGCAAATATTTCCCCAGAAATTATATTTAAAAAGGAAATTACTAAAAGAAATCCATCAGCATTATCAATCTATTCATCCCTTTAAATACAGGCAGTATTCTTAAGAAAAAATCCACCACCTCTCCCCAAAGTATATAGTAAGATTCCAGCTAAAGGAGGGTTTAATCGGAAATTGCACACTTCCGAATGTGTGTGGTGCTCTGGTAACCTTTTCCTTCTTCAACTTCAGAAGGTACAGAAAGTTGAAGGTGAACCATCCCCATAACTGTTACAAGACGTTCAGAAAAACACAACAATCTAGAGAAAATAATTTCCCGTTTCTCGATTTTACCTTTACAAGTCTCATAAACACATACAACTCTCAACTTCTGCTTTTCCTCTTTTCTCCTTTCAGTTCTGAGGACCTCTGCCAACGCGGGAAGAACTGAGAATGTAGGAAGGTATTCCTAAGAAACTGCTCAGCAAGTGAAAACTGGTATAAATGATTCAGAAGTGAGATAACGATATGCTTAAATAAATTCAAACACATTAGATGCCCTACGCTCTGTGACTCCTTGGGCACGAACACACTCAGGGAAAGAGACCCAGTGTTTTGGCTGAGACACACCCACGGTGTGAAGGGAGCAGTGGGTTCTGGGAAGGAAGGGAGCCGCAAGGGGCCGGTAGGGCCCTAGAGGCATTGCTTACCCGATGGAGTGAGACCTGCAGCCCGGGCAGCATAGGAGAGAGCAGGACCAGAGTTAGCATATCAGCACTGTGGTACCCTTGTCCCCCCTCTCAAGAACCCCAGAGCAAAGATGACGTTGACTCCGTTCATTACTCTTTGGGAGTATATTTTTAATGTGTCTTAACAATCACTGTACCAACCTGTTATAAGCTGCACTTCTAACTATTGTTCTCATGACTACAGAGAGAGGGTTGGACTCTAACAGAAGTTCTATGCTTCCTCCAAAGAGCCTCATCTCCTTGTTCACACGTGGTTTGAATAAATGACTGACTGAGAAGTTCCAAGAAGATGCTGGCATTATTACAAAAACGATTCCAAGAGCTTTCATCGCTTCAGAGTACTTTCATAAATGTGTCCCCGTTTTAACTTTGCAGGAAGCATTTTAGTTAGGTAGCTGTGAACAATGTTATTTTACAGGTAGAGAAAGAGAGGGGGCAGTTCCCTGACGGGGTGATGGGGACGCAGTCAACGGCAATTGGGATAAAATGAGAATCTTAGCTTGAAAAATATGACTTGTTTTTATAAAACACATCAATTTAAATCCTCACAGAGTGCTTTTTATTAACTTATTAAAAGGCCCAAGTTCTAAGTTTTTAAAATCTGTAAGTTTTAACTTGTAATAATTTAAAAAAAAAAAAAATGACTGGTATCCGAACTTTGCTGGCAATCTTTTTTAACAAGTTCAGAATTTTTTTCCCAGAATGCACAAAGGAATTTTATAGTATAAATAACAGGAATATAGGATAATATGATATTTTATACTAAAAAAGGGGTTCAAAGTAAAATGTGATACAACTCTTAAATTTCTCTATTGTTTTATAAATTGGCAAATCAATTTAAATGAAAAATTAAAAACTTACTTTTTCTCAGGTAAGAATCTTTACTAATCAAAATTCAAGTAATTTTCAAATATGAGTTTCCCATATGTTACTTGTTCTAGTGTAATTGAAAACTAAAAATTTTTTGTAATACTCGTTGCTTTCATAGTGACTGATCCTCAGTTATATATTTTAGATGTTTTAGTTTGAGAAAAATACAGGTCTGAATTTTGCAAACTCTACAACATATTACAGGACCCTATTTGAGTCTCCAGTATTTTTAGCCACAGTTTATAATGAAAGTACTGTATCCTCTATATAGAGAAACAATTAATGGAAAGTTTGAAACTTCTGGAAAACAGACCATTCATTACCCTAAAATAAAGCCACATTGAAACAGAAGAAAAAGAAGTGAACACGACTTTGATGTTACAACCAGTCAGTGTATGAACGGGAATGTGTTAACATATTGCGTAAGTGAATGGTCTTCATTCTCGTCCTCTTAGCAAAACGAACAAGATCTTTGTGAAATACCACAGTGCCCTCCTGCTGATGTATACTCCCTCATTTCCACATATGGGGGTCACCTTGTGAATGAGATGGTCACTTAGGATAAAAACTAGCATTTATTGAGTGCTTAATCAATGGCAGGCTCTCTTCTACAACTTTCATAATAACCTGATGATGATGTTACTCTTACCCGGTTTCGTAACTGAGAACACCTGGGTACAGGTGAGCTAAGTTACATGGGTCCTCCTCGTAACCTGACCGCCTGACACTGAATCACTTAAAAGCTTGTTACAAATGCAGATTCCTAGATCCAGGACCCACTGAGGCGCGATCTCCAAGAGGTGGAGTCTGGAATATGTGTTGTAAACAGGCTTCAGAGGTGTTTGTAAAGCCTCCTGAATTTGGAGAAATAACACTCTAGTACCATGCTGTGGTTCTAGAGTTCCAGTGAAGGTTACAACTAAGTATGTGGAGGACAAATTTTATAAATATGGCAAAATATATTTTCTTGGAGATAGCAGGTAAGAGGGGATTTCCTGTTCTGAGAAATTATTTAATTAGTTTAGATAAACGTTTTAATGCCATTGACATGACAGCAAATTTTATTTGTAATAAAATGAGGGTTAATTAATAATCCAGAAGGTTTATCTATTCATTACATGCAGCCTCTGAAAAATTTCAGTTGCTTTTCTTATCACATTATCCACAACTATGAAGATAAAACAATGTATTCAGACTCATGCATATGGAGTTACTTAACTCTAGCCTCACAAATGCCAACTTGTTAAGATAGTACAGGGGCACAATCCAGTAACATATGAAACCAAAAATAACTTAAACAGAACAGTATAAATATTTGCCTCTAGGTATCAAGTCTGTAGGGTAATTAAGAAATGGTTTCAGAATCCAATGAAAATTTATGTGCAGTTTTTAAAAAAAAGACATTTAAAATGTATACTTCAAAAGTTTAAAAAAAATGAAAGTAACAACTCTATATGAGATAACTTACTAAAACATACTATAGAAAATAAAAATGGTCAAAACTGCACTATTTTCTCTGGTGCCTACAGTGAGGACACTTGGTTCTCAGTTCAAAATCCTGATGTTCACCCTAATGTGAACTAACATGTAATATTGAAAATAACCCAAATGTGCAAGGACTATATACCATGGCCCCTTTTTGGAATAAAAGAATAAATACGTATGTATTCAGCATAGAAAAAAATCCTAGATGGATGTATACAAAAATGTAACCTAGAATGGTTTGTCAGAGCCTAGTCCACTGAATGCATATTTTAACTTACTCTTTAAATTTTAATGAAGAAAAATCAGTATGTGCTGCCTTCGTTTGAAATCCCCCCTTATTACCAGTAATTAAAGGAGCCCTGGATCTTCTATTTTTACTAGGTCATGTCCTCGTAGAAAGGGCATGTTCGGGACCAGGCTCACTAAGCAGACCAACGGGCAGAAAACTCCCCATTATAAAAATCGATCTCAGTCACCAATCATGATCAGCCACAAAACATGTTAATCCAATTAAAAAAGAATGTGTTAGGAAGACGAGCCAATAGAGAAAGCTCCCCTTCCCTCGAAGGCCCAGGGCTTAGCAGCATCCCCATGGTTCTGCCCCACACTACCTCATATCTCCAAACTTCTTGCTGATGGCCGTCCCCACGTTGCTGAAAGCTGCAGTTGCCTTCTGCCCTGCGTGACTCAGGGTTTCGTGTGTTTTCTTGTAGCTGGAAGTAAACAGAACCGTAGAAACACAGCTTATATGTGATGATCGCCCACAGAACATTCCCCATCCTTCTCCCTCCTTACTTTGAAAATTCCTTTTCTAAACAGCTTTATGAAGACAATGATCCACAGAAGTTAGTGATTCTATTCATTGTCTGGGGATGAGGGCTGGACTGCTGCCCATCGGTGGGAAAATCAGACTGCTCAATCTGAATTCAGGGAAAATATCCATAGGCAAGTGTAACATGCCGATTAGATGTGTAACTGCAAACAGACATGCTCTCAGACTACAGTTGTTCTTGAAGTGTGCGTTCGAACTCTTTGAAGAGACACTCTCCAGAAAACAGCCAACGAAGGTAACAGAAACGAGATGGTGTGTATTTCAATGAGAAGAATCAGCTTTTATTGTTCAGGGGTAAAATTAACCAGAAAGGGGCAAAATATAACTAGCATTTCACTTATTTTTCTAACATTTATGCCTGGGAATAGGCTAGAAGGGCACATGATCTTAAGAAAATATAGTGACCTTTTTTCAAAGAGTTTTAGGAAGATAATTCAGCAATGGTCTGTTCATTGGCCGATGTTCCCACTAGACTGACTCCTTGAGGACTTGGAGTAAAAGCCAAAGTCCATACAACGGCCTCACGATGATTGTACACAAGCTTGTCCTCTCGGCCCCCTGCTCCAGGCCCCAGACCTCCTCACCGGTCCATGGACCTACTAGGCCCCATCCTGCCTTAAAGCTTTTGCTCTGGCTGCTCTGCCACATGATCCCATCATATTTGGCAGGAAAAAAAAGGAGGGGAGGGTTTTGTTGTCTTGTAAATGTCCCACTTTGAAAAATTAAAAAGAGCAAAGCAGGCACCCTTAGTCAGATTGTGAAAGTCACCTTTTGCTGTCGATCAGGGCCAGAGATCCCTGGGGCCTTGGCCAAGTGGGTGTCAGCAGCATAGAGAATAGAGCTGGGCTCTGGGGGTCGGGGAAAGGGAAGCAAGGGAAGAAGGAGCACTGAGCACCCACCCAGCACTGACTCTGTACAGCCTAAAAGGGGGCTCAAGGGAAAAGCAAAGAAAGACCCTGCAATATCTATGACCTCTGTGTGAAGCTGAGACTAGTTAGGGAATTCCTGCTTCCGTTGCTCTTGCATTTCTTTCTTTCTTTCTTTTTTTTTTTTTAAGATTTTATTTATTTATTCGACAGACCAAGATCACAAGTAGGCAAAGAGGCAGGCAGAGAGAGAGAGGAAGGGAAGCAGGCTCCCCGCGAGCAGAGAGCCTGATGCAGGGCTCGAGCCCAGGACTCTGGGATCATGACCCGAGCTGAAGGCAGAGGCTTTAACCCACTGAGCCACCCAGGCACCCTGCTCTTGCATTTCTACAGGAATTTCTTGCAATTAGAGTAAATATTTAACTTTTGCTTGTACCTGTTCCTTGTAAACTGTTCCCTGTAGTTTATATACTGGAGAACGCTTTGAATTTTGAGATGAGGTGACTTTTGGACACTTGTGTGTATATCACATTCTGAATTTGACGGCTTAATTTCAAAACAGCTAGCCACGGGGAAGCACATCTAGTCAGCAGTAGGTTAGGGTTCAGGTTAGCTAGCTACATTATGTTTTAAACACACTTGTCTAGAACAAAGTGTGGTGGGTATACACAGGCTTCCGACTACTTTAGTGAAGTATTAGTGACATTAAGTCCTCACCATGAAAAGTGCAACTCCATACTTGGATGAAATTTCAAAGTTTAAAACCAACCATATGGAGAGCTCAAAGGAGTGTTGAAGAGAGACTTTTAGGACTGTTCATTTTTTTTTTTTTAAAGGTTTTATTTATTTGTCAGAGAGAGAAAGCTTACAAACAGGAGGTGTGGTAGGCAGAGGGAGAAGCAAGCTCCCCGCTGAGCAAGGAGCCTGATGCGGGACTCGATCCCAGGATCCTGGGATCATGACCTCAGCCAAAGGCAGATGCTTAACCAAAGGAGACACCCAGACATTCCAGGACTGTTAAGTATTTATTTCTGAGGATTACATAATGCTAAATCTGAAAGGCACTAGAATGCAATTTCTTCAGACAACAGATGACGGGACTGAGGCCCGGAAGAACTGCGTGACCTTTTAGAGACAGAAACAGGGCTAGGACTAGTGTGCCTGCCTTTTGGCCGGACATCTTCTCGCCTTGGAGATGAAAGACATTGGAAGGTAGGTTAGGTCAGCTGTCTATAGCTCAAGTATTTGTGGAGAAAAGTAGTAATAGTGCATCTGAAGATTTCTAAGATGTACCTCCTTCCCCACATTTTTACACCTCTCCTCCCTAAACTAATGACCGCATTTCTTAAAAACAATTACTGGGCATCCTACATACATTACATAGAGACAGATAATTGAGGGAAAGAGATTGGGGGTGGCGGGCAATGAGAGACGGTGGTATGGGAAGAAGTGGCTTCCCAGAACAAAGTAACCAGGGATCTCGTGAGAAATAGGCCAGTGGGCTCAGAGCACTTAAAAGCTCTAAGAAGCACTATTCACAGCACAGCGTAAGCCAAGGGTCCCCCCAGAGCTGTGTACCGCACAGACCCTGCATGCTTACACTGCGTTCTAATTGGGCTCGATCCTAAAACTGAATGAAGTCATACACATCCCTACCAGAGGCGAGGCGCTCACATCTTGAAAAAAGACCCTCCTGGCAGGCCACTGAAAACCCTGAAGGATGTCATTCCGTTTACATCTTACTCCCTTTATGGTGCCATGGAATTTGGCGCACAGTCCGGACTCCTAATGCTTAAAACCGGCTCTCAACCTTATCACATAAAATTACATTCAGTAATATTCAAATAATGAAAAACAACTTAAACACCAACCTTCTGATTCACCTGACGACCTTGTAATTTAAATGGAAACGGTATTTAGCGTTTTAGATGATGTCTCTTATTTTAAGCTAAATATAGAGTTACACCATTGCTGAGTCACATATGTGATGCAAAGGGAACGAATACATTCTCCTGAAACAAACGTCAGAATGTTACGGGACGCTCAGCTTGCTGTCCATTGTGCATGGGGAGGCAGAAAGACGGGAGCAGATGCTCCCAGCGATCCGTGTTACATGCCTATCCTCTGTGTGCCTGTGATGCACTTTGCACACTGTGATGCTCTTTCCTAACACATTTTTCACTTTGTTCCAATTACGGTTTTTGAGTCTTCCTCCATGACCTGCGTGCACTTCCTGAGGGCAGGGGCTGCATCTCGTTCATCAGCCCCGTGTCCCCGAGGCCTGGATAAGCCAGAGCGAGGGCCACAGGAAGCCAGGGTAAGGAAGGAGAGTCCAGGCAGACTGCCAGACTTCAGCTCCAGAAGACAGTCAGGACTTGGCAGCGTGTAGCTCCTGGTTCTGGAGGAAGGCCACGGAAGCCTGCCAGTGAGGGAAGGGCAATTTGTCCTCGTGGGCTTCGGAGCGATTCCAGCAAACAGCAGCTATGTGGGAACCTGTGTCTCAACAAGGCTGGCATCTGGTCCAGGCCTGAACCTTTTCTAGGCAGAAGTGTAACCGTGCTAGCAAACAGTAGCTCACACTTACTGCGTATCTATATGTGTTAACTCACTGAAGACATCTGACTGGGAGATTTTTTAAAATTAAGGGTATAAGTAAACCTTCTACTTTTCACTGAAAGTCAATGGGAACACAGGCTTTACTTTTCAGAGATCATCTGGCTGGAATGGATAGTCCTTTTTTTTTTTTTTTTTTAGCTTTACTGAGGTATGAATGACAAAATTGTAAGATATTTAAAGTGTACATCGTGATGATTTGATAGACATATACATTGCGAAAGAACTCCTCCCACCTAGTTAATACACATCCATCAACTCGCATGTTTTTATATATATTTTGGTGAGAACATTTAAGACCTACTCCCTTTGCAAATTTCGATTACACAATGCAGGTACCAACCAGAATCACTGTTATACATCAGAGCCTCAGACTTTTATTCATCTTATAAAGGGAAGTTTGCATTTGCCAACCTTCCCCTATGTCCCCCACTCCACCGCCCCTAGCAATCACCCTTCTACTCTCTGCCTCTAAGAATTTGACTTCTTTTTAAATTTTTTTTAGATTCCACATATGAGTGATGCCACACAGTATCTGTCCTTCTCTGACTTATTTCACTTAGCCTAATGCCCTTGAGATTTGTCCTTGTTGTCTAAAGGCAGGATTTCCTTCTTTGTCATGGCTGAATGATATTCCACGGCGTATATATATGCCACATCTTTTTCTTTTCTTTTTTTAAGATTTATTTATTTATTTTAAGAGAGAGAGAACACAAGGAAGGGGGGCAGAGGGAAAAGGAGAGAGATTCTCAAGCAGACTCCCTGCTGAGCACAGTGCTCAGTGTGGGGCTCGATCTGATGATGCCTCTGAGTTCAGGGGCTGAGCCAAGACCAAGAGTTGGACGCTTAACCAACTGAGCCACCACGCACCCCTACACCACATCTTTTTTAAGGAATGGATAATATTTACTGGCCAGAACAGGCTGGCCAGCACACTGACAAGGGGATCTTCAGCAGGGAGAGGTACAGCTCTCTGCAAACCAAATAAAAGGCATTCTATTATTCTACTGACCTTTCATGCAGTTCCCCTTGTCATGCCTTATGGATTTGAAAGTAGTGTTCATAATCAAAAGGAGAAAGCATGTCTTCTAAAATGTTTTGACTTAAAGCATTTTTTTAAACACTCCAATAGAAGAATTAAAAATCCAGAGTCTTTTTACAAGAAGATATTGTATAGCATAGATACATCTTCTGTTACGGGATTTTAAGAAGATTATCATTTTAACAGTTGCCCAGGCAGCATCTCACCAGAGATGCAGAAGTGTTTAGGCTTATTTTCTTCAGGAGGTTCCCTAAACATGTAACCAAAAAAGATTTACCACTTGAACCTGGAAAAGAAGAGTCTATCTCCTGCTTTGTGTGGTAAGATGAAAGGCAAAAGGTAGCAGAATAAACAGCTGTC